TTCACGTCCACACTCTGACACAGACTCCCTGTAAATAACCTTGGCCAAGTTACTCAGTCTCTCAGATAATGGCTCTGCCCTACTGCACAGAGGTGCTGTGAGGATACGTACATTAAGAGTTGTGAAGTGCTCAGAAAGATTAAAGCTTTTTATTATCGACAAAGCCGGTTATACTATTAGGATGCCAGTAAAGGCATCCACGGCCCTCCTCCCTCCAATTTGTTGCACCCTTGGGGCTTAAAGGAAAAACACTAGCAGCAGGGTGTGGTGTAGAGAACTTGTAGTGCTGGTGAAAGGTGCTGAATCAACACCCTTGGATAGTGATGTCTTCTCTCCGGCCCAGAGCAGGTAAAGCACAGGCAGCAGGAGTGAAACGACTCCACAGCCTTCAGTGTGCCCCTGCCCAGGAGGTCAGGCCATTCTCCATGGCCCTTGGCTCCTCTGAAGCTACTAATCAGGGGACTCAAGATAGTGCCAGGTGTGGCGTGGTTTTCTGATGTGGGTGCTGGACTGAGCCCAAACAGTGGTGGTTTCTAATAGACAGCTCCCTGGATGTTAGGGGAGAAAACCACGACAACGGAGCTCCTGTTAATCACAGTCAATCCTGTGACTTTTAGGTTTTCTTGTAAAGGAATTTCAGGCCAGGTTCTCGGTGAAGAGATTTCCCTGCTGGAGGGGATAGAAGCAAGAGATTGTAGGGGTGGGGAAGGGAGTGGGGTCTGCCAGGCAGGTAGAGAGATCTATTGCCCCACAGAGATTGTGTGCATGCTTGGGAAAGACAGGCACACACACCAGGACAAATAGGCTAGTTGCCAACCCAAATCACCTCCACAGTATGATCCTGCTGCCTAGGTTGGTTGTTAGCCAGTGTGCCCTTGTTGCCAAGAAGGCCAACGGCATTTTGGGCTGTATAAGTAGGGGCATTGCCAGCAGATCGAGGGACGTGATCATTCCCCTTATTCTGCATTGGTGAGGCCTCATCTGGAGTACTGTGTCCAGTTTTGGGCCCCACACTACAAGAAGGATGTGGAAAAATTGGAAAGAGTCCAGCAGAGGGCAACAAAAATGATTAGGGGGGGTGGAGCACATGACTTACGAGGAGAGGCTGAGGGAACTGGGATTGTTTAGTCTGCAGGAGAGAAGGGTGAGGGGGGATTTGATAGCTGCTTTCAACTACCTGAAAGGGGGTTCCAAAGAGGATGGAGCTTGGCTGTTCTTAGTGGTACCAGATGACAGAACAAGGAGCAATGGCCTCAAGTTGCAGTGGGGGAGGTTTAGGTTGGATATTAAGAAAAACTTTTTCACTAGGAGGGTGGTGAAGCACTGGAACGGGTTACTTAGGGAGGTGGTGGAATCTCCTTCCTTAGAGGTTTTTAAGGTCAGGCTTGACAAAGCCCTGGCTGGGATGATTTAGTTGGGAATTGGTCCTGCTTTGAGCAGGGGGTTGGACTAGATGACTTCTTGAGGTCCCTTCCAACCCTGATATTCTATGATTAGCCTCCCACTGGTGACCCCCTCTGCACATGGACCCCACCAACCCAACCCTACATGCACTCTTCCTAGGGAGCAAGGCCTGGCTCCATAAGCCTAAATACTTGTAAGGATCTGGACCTAGATTCCAGCAGCCCTCCTGGAAGCTCTCTATAGTAAAGCCTGCAAGCCCCTCCGCCTGCCTAACTTGCTGAGCCTTGTGTGTCCCTGAGTCTTGTCCATGGTGCTGAAAACTGCAGTGTGCTCAGGGAGCAACTCTTGGGCCCCCCTGTGAATTCTCCCACCTTGCTCCTGCAGTGGGCAGGCCTATTCTGGACCAGGATAAACTTGGCCCTTTTGAAGGGGCAGGTCTATTGGGAAAGGGCTGGCTCTCTTGGAGCACACCAACGCCCCAGCCTGTTTACTGACTTCCATGGTCAATTGCAGCTTTTTTTTTTTCCATCTCTGAAAACAACCTTGCAGAGTCCATCTGTGAAATGGGGCCTGCAATTCAGGCAGGGTGGTGTGTGTGAGAATCACTGGTTCAGAGCTACCCATTTGGAAGGCTCCCGTAGGAATGCATTGTTCAGCGGGCCTTGTGAATTGTTTGAATGAGGGGCCAGGACCAGGTCTATGCGCTATTTCAGACCCCCTCAAAATCGGGATTGGAGAGGGGCGGGGGTTTAAGTGGTGCTGATGCTGTGTGCTGGCTCTTTGTTCTATGGGTGCAGCACAGATGCATTGACAAATTTTGCTGTTTAGGACATCAGTGAAAAATTGGTTCCAACCCTATTTATTTTGGGAATGGGGGCTGCCTTTCGAGTCAATTGCTTCCAGACCATTTGTTCTGTTGCATGGATTAGACTGTCTCTCCCTCAGTCCTAGGGGACCCTAGAAGGTATGGATTCTGTTGTCTCTGGGTAGAGTTTTGCCCAGTTTTGTTTTTTGGATGTTCTTTGCTTAGCTTTCTGGGATAATTATAACCCTTCAGAAACATCTCAGATGTACAAGGCTTGCCGGCTCTGAATTAACTCCTTCTCCCTAGATAACACACGCTACTGAACCATGAAATGCCAACGAGAACCAAAATTAAAAAGCAATAACTCAGAGAAAATGCCTGGGCTAAAATGGGCTCTCCAGCTTTTTTTAAAGCTCTATTTCAAGTACTTAAAACTTCCCATAGCCAGAATATTTGACTAGTTCTTTCTCTGAATTAGCATCGTCCTCCCACTGGCACTTTTTATATTAAGGTTTCCTGGAGAAACAACTGCAACTAGATACAGAGAACCAGATCCTGAGTAATTTACTCAGGACTTATGCTGGCAAAGTGAATTCTACACCCTCAGAGGGCAAAACTCAGGATTTGGCCCAAAATTTATCTGAGGCGTTTGGTCAAGGGATTCCAATTTGCAGCATAAACTCTACCCAGCTCCTAATGCGCCGTAGCAATTTCATAGGCCATTTGCCTCTGCACAGGGATTTTAAAGCACTTTGGAGAAAAGTCAGCTTTCAACAGAAATGCAGCCTTAATTATGGGGCACAAAACTCTTCAGAGCTAACATGAATAGTGCTCGTTGGACTAGGAGTTGTCCTTTACTCTGTCCGTACAGAGCCTAGAACAGTGGTTCTCAACCGGGGGTACATATACCCTGGGGGTACACAGAGCTCTTCCATGGGCTACATCAACTCGTCTAGATATTTGCCTAGTTTTACAACAGGCTACATAAAAAGCACTAGGGGAGTCAGTACAAACTAAAATTTCATACAGCAATAACTTGTTTATACTGCTCTATATACCATATACTGAAATGTAAGTATCATATTTATATTCCAATTGATTTATTTTATAATTATACAGTAAAAATGAGAAATGTTTCAGTAATAGAGCGCCGTGACACTTTTTTGTATTTTTATGGCTGATTTTGTAAGCAAGTCGTTTTTAAGTGAGGTGAAACTTGGGGGTACACAAATCAGACTCCTGAAAGGGGTACAGTAGCCTGGAAAGGTTGAGAGCCACTAGCCTAGAACATTGGAGCCCTGATCCCATTTAGACAACATAACCTGGTCTGCACCTTCCCCAGCCCTTTACCAAAATAGCTAGATCAATGCCATGACTAGCATGGATGCAATTGTGCTGTTATAAAGATGCCTCATACTGGTACATTTAGGGGAATAGCCTATACCAGTAGAAGGCGCCTCTCTGCCAACGCAACTATAGTCACACTGCGGAGAGCTACTGCGTCAGCTATACCGAGATAGTTAAAGCGGTACAACTTTTGTGTGTAACCATAACTCTAAGCCTCCAACAATCCCCAGCTTGGTTTTAATACCAAGAAAGGTCAGAGTTCCAGACTTTCCCAACACTGGATCTGTCTACGTTACCATGTGGTTTTAAAAACCAGTGATCTGCATGTAGTCTCCATTCATTGTCCCACTGCTGGAAGGAGAGGCCATTTGGCTGATTTATCACAATCTTTAATGCAAGTGAGAAGTTTCATTTCATTTCTTTCCCAGTGTAGGTTCTGGAAGGGTTTTGGGGAAATGCCCCTAGCTTCTTCCATCCAACTCATTCCTCTTACCTTTCATTTCAAGCTCACTTGCAACAGACCAAGGAGGTAGGACTACTAATGATGGTGCTGAGGGCGAGAGGGGGGTGTCAAACTTTCAAAAGAGCCGAACGGTCTGATTTTCAAAGGTACTTAGGCACCTACATTGTTCTCCATAGGAGTTGGGTGCCTAAATACCTTGGAGGATCGGGACCATAGGTCCCATTTTCAAAAGTGACTTAGGCGTTCAGGAACCTAAATTTCTCTGAAAGTCAATGTAATGTAGGCTCCTAAATCACTTTGGGGAAGGCTTTTCAAAGGCACAAAGGGCAGTTAGACAGCTCAGTGCTACTGAAAATCAATGGGAGTTTGGTGCCCCACCTCCTTCTGTAACCAGGGACATCTTCCCCTTAGACACTCTTTGAAAATTTTACCCCCAGTCTCATGCAATGGGATTGGAGCAGAAGGGACGGGGGGCCTGATCCAAAACACGCTGACATACATGGACAGATTTCCATTTGCTTCAATGGGGTTTGGATCAGGCTCTAAGACGCTGGACCTAGAATGTCCCCAGAACCCTCAGTTCCCACCACGCGCGTCTCAGCCCTTTGCAAGGACAGGTGCGAAAGCCTCAGTGGTGACCAAGAGAAAATGGTGCGTTTTGAGTCCATTCTCCAGCATCCCTCCTGCACTGCCCCCATGGATAGTGACCGAGGTCAGAGGGGATGGAACAGAGCAGGATTTCCCCTCATTAAACACGTAGCAGTTGGGCACCATTCTGGCAGAGGGAGAGAAGGGCAGGTGGCTTGAGCAGGTGCTAGCCGTAACGACAGCCTAGTTTGCGTGCCCTGCGCCAGCAGCTGATCCCGAGCTGGGCATGAGCGATGGGACTGTGCCCAGTGCAGAGCTGCTGCCAAGGATAAACAGGGAGCGGAGCAGGAAGCGAGGGATCTCCCGAAGCGAGCACAAACCTCCCGCTCTTACCGGGCTGGTTGAGTTGCAGGGTGCTCTTGCTCCACTGGGACAGCCCCACGATAGCCACCATCTTGGCCCCGAGGCTAGAGCGCCTCTTCTTGTTGGAGGTGATGCTGGCCGAGTCCGGGTTGCCCCCGTTGCTCTTCTCGACGTTGTACATCTCGCCGCTGATGCTGGAGCTGCGGACCACATTTTTAGCCGAGGAGGAACTAGTCTCCCCGTTAAACATGGTCGGCTAATTGCTCTCCGTCTTGGGGGGGCTCCTGGGCGGGGTCAGCTGCAGGGAGAGGAAAAGGAGACAAAGGGGAAAGTCTGTTATTCGCTCTCCACTCACGTGGCAGCTGGGTTGTTCCCGAGTACTGGGGATGGGAGGCTGCAGCCTGGGGTCAAACCCCGTCTGTTAGGATGAAATACACCTGACTGTGCAAAGAAAAATCAGTTACGCTGGCCGAGGGGTGTCAGCTCGGATCAGGAGAGTGACATCAGCACGACACAGCTCGGAAGGGAGTGGGAGCATCATCTCGGGGATGTGCAAAACACCAACATGGTGCAGCCCCATTCACAGGAAACGCTTCGGGGGCTTCATGGCACATAACTTGGAGCAGGCATCGCCGCAGCGCTATTTTAGCGTTCCAGCTGAGACCAGGCCCCACTGTGCTGCTGTAGCGTCTCTGACAGACGGTCCCTGCCCCAGAGAGCTCTGTCTGAACAGACCAGGAACGGGGATTGCTCTCCCTGGCCTACAGCTGCCAAGCTGAGGCACAGAGATGAAGTGACTGGCCCATGGTCACGCAGGGCTTCTGTGGCAGAGCAGGGACCTGAACCCAGGTCTGAGCCTTCACCACATGACCAGCCTTCCTCTCTGGGGAAGTCAGAGGCTCCCAAACGCCAAGTGTCCCAGGCCAATTATCAAGTGATGTTGGGCCTAGGCTGGAGTATCCCATGTAGCCCGTGTCAAGGCTGCCAAAGCAGCCATGCCGGGGAGGCAAGAGTCCCGTGGGTAGCATGCAAAGGGAAGCTTTGTGGCCTCCCAGCATGGCCTAGCGGGAAGCAGGAACCACAGCAAACACAAGGGTGGAGCCCCGGTTGCCTTTGCCCCCGGCTTTGGGGCTGCAGCTGCTAGTCCAGCTCAGAGGCTCAAGAAACGGAGCCAAGGCTGTGCTTTGGCCCAGCATTTTGGGCGGGTGGGGGAAGTGGGATGGGATTTTTTGCCTCTTAACTTCCCCTACAGCTGCCCCCCAACACGCTCTGGCTTAGGTTTAAGGGCACAGTGTGAATCCGCCCCCCCCTTCCCCAGCTCAGGGCGTTCTGATCCCATCACCTTCAGTGTCAGGGACGTGCGGAGTGGGGCGGGAGGCCTGGCACTGGCTGGAGGAGCCTGCACAGGGCTAGCAGGGGGGGGGGCGAGGGACTGTGTGCCTGTAAGCTCACTTAGCCGCAGCAGCTTTGCGACAAATTGTCAGGGGAGAATGAAAACCTGCAATACAGGGAAGTGGCTTTCGCAGGCGCTTTCGGCACTTCAGTGAGAACCGCCAGCCCTGCGCCAAGTACACCTTGGCATTTTACCAGGCTGAGCCCCCGCACCCCAGGGGGACGAAGCTGGGGCACCGGCCAAGTCTCAGGGAGGCTGTAAACAAGAAAT